CCCTTAGTTTGCAATGGCTCCAGCATTCCTGAAAACCAATAGGTCTATGGGCTCATGGGCAATCACAGCCTGAAAAAGTTTTACACTAATTTTCTTTTTTTTTGCCATCCCTTCACCGAACAGCATTTGATAACAGGCATATTCACAGGATCAATTAGGTAGGAAAAGACCTCTGAGACCATCGAGTCCAACCCTAACACCACCCTGACAACTCTTCATTCCATGGCACTGAGTGCCACGTCCAGTCTTTCCCTGAACACCTCCAGGACTCCACCAGCTCCCTGGGCAGCTGTTCCAATATCTAATCAGCCTTTCTGTGAGGAAATTCCTCCTAATGTCCAACCTAAACCTTTCCTAGAGCAGCTTGAAACTACGTTCTCTTGTCCTTGTTTGCCTAGGAGAACAGCAGCACCTTCTTCCCTTTATTTCCCGCTAGGACGCTCTGGGATCGCAAAGCTCCAAGCGCACGGAAAGGGATGGCGCTGCCAGAGGCCGCACAGGCGCCACCGCGGCGGATGGGCCCTCACAGCTGTGCCCAGCCCCCGCCGGCGAGGCGGAAGGAGCGGCAGGTCCCGGAAACCGAAGGAAAAGAAAAAAATCCAAATAAAACCCCGCCCCCAAAAGCTTCTTTTTCCACCTAAACTCCGCCCCGCCCGCCGCCGTGGCGTCACGCGCTCCGCCGCTCAGTGCGACGTGTCCCTCGGCCGGCGGTGAGGGCGGATCGGTGGGCCCCGGTATTCCCGGCCTCGGGAAACGGGGATCAGGGATAAGGGATGGGGGCTGAACAGCGGGGATTGGGATGGGGCCAGGGATTGTAGGGACTGCGGCAGGCAGGGGGGGCCTCGGCCGGGGAGAGGGGAAAGGGAGCGGCCGGGGACGCGAGAGGGGCCGGCATCGTACCGGGAGCGTCCTGCCAGGGGTTCCGTATGGATTAATGGAAGCAAATCCCTCCGGTGGGTGTCCTGCGTGCGGGGCAGCGCCGGCACACGCCTGCTGTGAGAACAGGTCTCGGCCACAACATTGTCTCCGTGCTCACCAGCCCTCCGGTAGCTTTCGGCGTGGGGGTCTCCTCACACCGGCGATTTTTGTTTATTTAGGCGCCCTTGGTAGTGTTCGCAGAAACACGGCGTAGATCATACGAAACACGGTCATAAGCTGAAAGCTAAACTGTGATGGAGTTGTTGTTTTCCTCTTCTAGGCTGAAAGGCATAATTTTCCTTTTTTTTTTTTTTTTTTTTTTTGCAGTCAGAAATAGGCCCTCATGTTTGTTTACTGAAACAGTGTCTTAATTTCCTGCAAAGTATCTTAGGTTGGAATATGACACTTTATCTTAAGCCTTTAACAAATTGTATAGGTAACTGCTACTTCTGTAATTAAAAAATTCTGGTTTTCAGTATATATGTGGAACCATTAATGCTAAATGTGTCTGTCTTTGCAGGCAATCATGGATCAGGTAATGCAATTTGTGGAACCCAGCCGTCAGTTTGTAAAAGATTCCATACGACTTGTTAAGAGATGCACCAAGCCTGACAGGAAAGGTAAAGCACACAATAAACCAGAACACAATCCTTATTTCCTCTTGTACCTTAGCATGTGTCTTTACATAGATCACTTCTGTTGATTCGTTTGCTGTGGATATTTCTCAGCTGCCAATATGAGATTTAAACTTGAGCTTTAGTTGTCTAAATGTCAGTGTTTAAGGTTCTGGCTGTAATAAACTTGAGCATTTTCTTTTCTGTACGTACGTAGGCATGTGAGTGGTAGGAAAATTGACCTTAGGAGAGAGGTTAAGGGGCTGAAATTCACTGCTCCACAGTTGTCAGTCATTGCCTGATTGGGACAGGAACAATTTCATTGCTGGGAGTATGGAAGAGGAGGTTTTGGACTAGAGAGGCCTCTGAGAGAAGCTGTAACTAAAACCAGAATGCAACTGGTCCTCCTTACTGAAAGTTCCAGTGTTTTATTCATGTGAACAGGTCTGTGACTTAAATTTGCTATTGAGATCTGAGAGGAACTCCATTCCTTGTCAGACTGGCAGGTTTCTGAGGGGCTGTTGACCTTCTTAATCAACTTCATGGTTGCTGTCCTAAAGTAATTGAATATATCCTAAGTACTCGATTTTTGCGGGGTCTTACAGTGCTGTCCTGTGACAGACATAAATACAGATCTTCCATTTTTTATGCTGTATTAGAGATTACTTTCAGGGCTTGTAGGGATGTGAAGGAAACATTATGAGATACATGTTTCATGAATTGTCATTGTGCGTATTTTTGATTCTGCTTATTTAAAAAAGATGGTGATCTTTGTGGAAATCTGCATCTTCTCTCTGAGAATCTCATCTGTCTTCTGAAAAAGTGGATTTATTTCTTAGCATCTGTGCAGATTTTGAAGTGTTTCCAGTGTTAACATGGTTCTGCAAAGAGAGATCTCTCCTTTGGTCACTGCAGTGCACGTCTGTATACCATACATGAGACTTCCTGACATTTTTTTTTCTTTTTCAGAGTTCCAGAAGATTGCCATGGCAACAGCAATAGGCTTTGCGATAATGGGTTTTATTGGTTTCTTTGTCAAATTGATCCATATCCCAATCAACAATATAATTGTGTAAGTGAATATGGCCTTCAATTTCAGTAAATTTTTACCTCTTCAGTTTTAATAGAGGACATTAGTGAATGCTACAGGACCCATGTTGTTTTCGTGTCTGTGCATTTCACGTGTTAGTGTAATATGACAAGTATTCCTTGATTCAAAAGACTTTATGAACAATGCATGCTGCAAGGTATTAAATCCATTGTTCTTAAGGTTTTTTCTGAGTATTCTGCTTCAAAACTGAAGGTCAGGTATTTTGATTTCCAGTTCCTCAGTGTATGTTTGACCATAGAATATTTACCTTATTTGGATCTTGTATAATCTTGTTGTTTCAAGTTTATAATTTGGGTATCCAGAGTAAATGGATGGATGGTAAAGAAAACTGAGTGGTTGTGCTCTAGGATGATGGGCACAGAACGAAGTTGCTCTTTTTTCATTTACTGAGTGCTGGATATGTTTGAAACATTGTTTTTTATGTGTAACTGCATCCTGTAAAATCCCTTTTGGAATGAATGTTACATCATGAAAAATTTGAACTTCAAGTTGACTGGCACCATGGTAGTGACTTATGAACAGTATTAGTTAAAACTCCTCATATACTCTAGAGCTGATGTGATCCCTTCTTCAGTGCTGGAAGAGGTTAAAGACCATTCTGTGTCCATGATGTGTGACTTCCTTTTACCTGTAAGAGTGGTCATCTAGGCAAGGAGTGTTTGAAAATGGGAGATAAGCTCTAGTGGTTGTCCTAACAAGACAGTGGTGGGAGGATAAGTAAGACTTCAGGTGGGGTCACTTGATCACACTTCATTAGTTGAAACTGATTACTTTGTTCTCTCAACAGAGGTGGCTGAATATTCATCATGAAGAAGAAAGTTGTGATACCTGCAGCAATGATTTCACGGCTTTAATTTGTTTGATATTAAACAAGCTCAGTTTGGGTTTTCAAACACTCTTGTCGTCTTTTTTTTTTTTTTTTTTTTTAAGTGTATGTGATCATACCTGTCTACAGGCTCTTATTTTATTTTATTTTGGGGCAATAGTAGTTGTGTGTTTCACTTGTTTTGTTACTTCTTTTAACCATAGTAGACTCATTCAGGTGGGAAGTAAGCTTGGAAGATCTGTAGTTCAATATCCTGCTTCAACCTGGATCAGTCTTGCATTCTAATGAGGTTGCCTAAGGTTTTCTCCAGTCAAATACTGAAAGCTTCCAAGGGGGACAGTTGTATGACCTCTCTTCAGGAGCTATTTACAAAGCAGTACATTAAGCTTTGGAACAGCAATGTTCCAGCAAAAGCAGACGGCAAGAAAACAGCATTTCTGTATCCTTTCAAGTGGTATTGTAAAAGTGTATGGGAATTCCTGTCACTAATTTCTGGAATGACCATAATTATCACTAATTCTTTTCTGCATTTGGAACTCATGCTAGGTTATAATATGTACTTGACAGGAAAAAAAATCTTATCAAACAAAGACATTGCATTGCTAGTCCTTATTCTGATGGCATAATTCAAAAACCCAAACACAATTGATTACTGAGACGTACCATTTGAGGATAATTTAGTTTTCAGAGACACTGTAGTCTTTCACAAATCCACAGCTTGTTCACACTGTTGGATAGGATATATACCCATTTTAGATCCAGTTCTGTACATAGAATCGTAAAGGCCCCTGCATGTTGACCTGGAAGTCTCCATTATTTTAAATAATTATATATTCTGATTTAAAGAACTAAGCCTGTAAAAGCTGTGGTAGATAAAATGCTCTTTCTCGTCAGATTGAGATTGACTTTTAATTCACTTCAAAAATTTCACTGTAAGCATTTGGTATTTGAAGAAGGCACAATGGTACTTGTAATACAGACTTCAAAAGCACTTAATACTGGGACATCTGATACTGGTATTACAACAAACTTCTTCAGTACACCAACTTGCTTCCTAAGTAGAAATGTTAAATTATTCTTCTTCTTGAGGAATCTTCACCAGCATCTACATATGTTACAAACCAGGACAGAAAAATGAGATTAGTTAATCTTGGTGCTATCATCTTGTAATATACTATGTGCAACTGGATACTGTATTTCCTTTTGGCAGGAGGGGAAAAATAGATTAGTATTGGAATAAAATATTTTGTAAAAGTAGGCTGAACTAACCAGATAAGCAGCAACAGTTTCTTTACGTTCATTTTGGTTTGTGGTTGTTCTCAATGGCTGCTCATGCACCTTCTGATTAAGTAGTGTGATTTACCAGAATGAAGTACTCTGTGACTGCAAGTAATTTTGATTCAATCTCAATCTTTTATTTCAGACTTGTTTTTCCTTCAATACAGAAAATCAGTGCCTGCTTATATCTTGCAACAACTTAATTCTTAGTGTCTTAATTCAGTGAAATTTTGTAGTAATTTGAGTTGTGTCAGATCAGAAAAGGCAGCTGTAGCTGATCTTATCTTTTAATAGCCATTGTCCACAGCAAAGGTTTGTCTGTCTCGATGGTCACAATCCCGGAGTTGTCATAGGTGTTGGAAGTACTGACAAGTGTTCCAAACTTCAGCACCTGATTATCTGTGAAAAGTAAGGAAGAGACTGAGTGGTTCTCTACAACAATAAAAGGACATCAGTGCATTTGTTTTGTAAGACCACTGCTCCCACAAGGAACAAAAAAAGTAGCTGAATAAATCTAACCCAGACAAATATCTAGTTAGAAGGCTTATGTGAGATTTTTTGATGACCTGAAGAGGCAATAATAAATTAATCCCCAAATTAATAGTTTGAGTTTACAGCAGATTATTACAAAAGCAGTTTGTCAGGTAATCCTGAGTTTCACATCTGGAAATTTGTATTTCATTAGGAGCAGTTAAAATACTAGTGCTAGAAAAAGTATTTAAAGTAAAACAAAGAAGACCTTACTGTAGTTTAAAAGTTGGGATTTGCTTTAGCTCAGCAACAAGCCTACAATCTTTTAAAATGTGAACAGTTCTAGAGTAAAGGCCAGCAGTTAAAAGTGATATTATTTAACAACTTTAAATTCAGGGACTTGCATCTTTTCTTCTGCTGCATGTGAGGTAGGTGTTCATGTGCATTAGAAACCAAGTGGCATTACTCTAACAAATGGCAAACCATGCAATTTAAGTTCTACCTTTCATTTCTTCCCTTTTTGAGATATGATATTCCTGCTCCTATGCTTGTTACTAGCTTCAAGTGAACTGGAGAGGAGGTTTCAGCTGCTAGCTGAATTTGTTGGAATGAGAGAGTAACACTCCAGTTTCACTACTGCCAATGGAAGAATCCTGCCATTTGAAGTTGAGGAGCTGGGAGCATAACTGCAACACAATGCAGAAATCCAGCGAAGAGAAAAAACCCCAATACTACTGTACTGTATCAATTGTGCACCTAAAATAAAAGTGCTAGATTCTGACAGGATGTTTTTGGACACACAACAGCACCAGGCATGCTCCCAGACAAATGCCAGTATGAATGAATGTTGGTGTTTGCCTTTGGAAGACACAGCAGAGGCCACAGGGGATATGTCTTGCCAGAAAACACAGATTTCACCGTTTGAAGGTAAACAATGGATAGAGTTCCCTGAGTAAAAATACTGTGTTAAGTACTGTGGTCAAGCTATGAATGTTTCCAATCAGTTTTAAGTAGGAAAGAAGCTTAAATACTTTAAAACATTTGCTGACACACAAATTACCTTCTTTTGGTTACTATACATTGAAACTTGAAGGGGGTGGGCAGGAAGAACTTTGTTGATGAACTGCTGTATAAACCCACACTCATTTAGTATCATTTATTGCTTCTCACTCAAGACTCAAAATAATACTTGATGTTTCACAGCTTTGCATATAAAATAATGGCTTTGCAGAAGGCAAGAATTAACAACCACATGGCAGCTTAATGAAAAAAAATCTAAAGCCGTATTTCTTAGTGCATAAAATCAAGTGAAAACGAGAGCCTTTCCCCTCGTCTTTTCAATAGAGAATTCTTGCCCACTAGATGGAGCCTTTAATCTTTATCAGGTTTTCTGCTGGATAAGGCTCATAGTATGAAATGCTGAAATAAAAAAATGCAAAAACTGTGGAACAGTACTGCTGATTCACGTGGCTTACATGGAACAATTCCAAGCACTTAGTTTCACAACCAGCCAACATTTCAACTAACATAATTAAAAATGCATGTTTTCCATTCAATAGATGAACAGTAATTAATGTGAAAACCTAGGTTTGAGCCGGTAAAGGAAATAAGAGGATGTGCAAACCTACTGCTGCCAGGCAGACTTTCTGCTGTGTCATGCATTCTGATGGAAGTTTACAAGGTCAAAAAGTGCTAAGTTTTATCAGTTCACACCTGATCCTTCCCTTATTTGTTATTAAATTTATTTGTTAAGTCCTAGCAAGAACTTAGGTCTTGGGGAAAAAAAAATCCCACTTATTACAACACCCATTTTCACTACTGAGATTCCTTTTCAGATACACATTCCAAAGAAAACCACCTTTTTATTTTTTACTATTTAGTATTTATAGTTTTGCTATAATTGGGTATCAAATCCAATTTTAATAAAGGATTCCACACTATGATTTAAAAAAATGCAAACTTCAGAAACCCGAGAAGTTCTCTAGTTTTCTAATTAAAAGAAATCTTATTTTGGATCATTGAAATAGTAGTCTCTTGATTTTTGTGAAACCTTTAAAGGGTTGGTTTGGATAAACCCATAAGTGATTAACTGCAATACCTCCCAGCATTAGAAGTTTTGTTTAGTGCTTTGGTTCCAATCAGACTGTATTTACTGATAATAGATTGCTGATGAGAAAAATACTCAGCTCCTCCATTGTAGCTATGCTATTTTTCATTACTCTCCATCTATCAAGTCAGCAAGGACTTCAATACTAAAAGCAAATGCTGTTCCTGCCTTTTTTTGGAGGCGGAAAAAAACCCAAACCACCAATATCCCCCCCGCCCCTCCCCCCAAAACTCCCAAACCAACAAAATCTATCATGTGACAGTTTTTTATGGTGTGCCTTATGTTCTTATCAGTAACAAATTTTTGTCTGATGGAGTGCAGCAACCACTGTCTAATGGATTGCAGCATACCACTTATTTAGACCTAAACATGGGCATGGAGAGGACTGACTTTGATGAAGTAGTGGAGGAATGTTTCTCTAGCAGTTTATCTTTTGCTTAGATGATGTTTTAATCTGCCAGGGCTGGAGAATGTTGGACATAATTTAAGAGAAGAAAACTGAGGGCACATAGGTGAGCTTTCCAAAGGACCATAATCACAATGATCATTACTTCTTAGACATCTTTTTTACTGACCAAATTACACGACAGAAGAGATCTCAGTAACCATAAGACTGGCAATTTCCACTATTTTATTGCTCTTACTCTGATAATTAAAAAAAAACAACCACAAATCCTAGGATGCCATATGAAAAATGTTAATCTTGGGGGTAAAATTTTGAAAATTCATTAATCTTAGGGATGCAAGAACATTTGGAAATGTTAACAGAATGCCACCTGTAGGTAATTAAGTTACATAAATAATAAAAACCCCCAAACCTAAAAATTTATTGTAAAATCTCATCCTAATTATACTTCTACCACAGTAGGGAGTTATTTTTGAGTGGCTGGTACATAAGCCTTCCTTGCAATCCTTGTGCTGCTGGCTTTCAGCCTGGAACCTGAGAAATAGTGTGGCCTAATTACAACTAGATTGGAGGTCATCATGTCAAGTGCTGCAAAAACACTCTCAACATCAGGTAATTCCTCTTAATGATTGTATTAATAATCTAGTAGACTTATAAACATAATCTCTATGTTCCATTGTACTATTTAGGACACTTAAAGTTCAGTCCAGAGAAGAGAGGTTATCTATCTATCTAAAAAAAAATATATCAATCAAGGTTTTGTGTACATCTTACAAGCTGCCCTTACGCAGTACTTGAGGGAGGCATGTACAGAGAAAAACTTAATCCTAAGCTTGTCATATATGGCAAAACCAAATCGTGTCAGGGTCTCATTACTGTTACCATGAATGACTAAAGATAAAATACTATCATGTTAAGCATGTCCCACACAGACACTGTGATACTTATGCTATGCTTCCTTTTCTCAACTGTGTCTCAATTATTTCCTGAAATATGTAAAGTTACACCATGCTGGTTTCCACTGCTGAAAATAGAAGCAAGGAAAGGAATACAAGCAGATTGCCACTGCTGGCATGGATGTGGGGAATATTAAAATAATTAATTATTAATTAAAAGTCGTATTATAGTGAATGTAATCGTCTTCCCCCTAGGCAAATGCTGCCTCAAAATGATAGAAAATTAAGATCAATAAGCTGAAACACAAGCTAAAGTGAAATATTGAATCACCATTTGGTATCCTATTACAGTCTGGAGAGGATTTCCCTGAAGTTGTGTTAGGAGCAAAAATCTGCATTTAAATGGAGATACATTAGTAATGCATGAGCTAGTACTTTGCAGGTCACCCTGTGTCTGCAGAACAGCAGCATTAATTTTGCTATTTAAAAATAAAAATCCCACGACTGATTTTCCTTTCATTTCTCCTGGGTTTACACTTGTGGTTAGGCTGACTTCACTGGAGTTAATCTTCATTTACACTGATGGATACAAAGGAAAAATTGGGTGCTTGATCTCTGTGCAGTGGCAACTGCAAAACTGGAAGTTGCAAATAACAGTAATTTACAATAAAGCATGAACTATTTTCAATACTTACACAACAGATGTACCATAAAGGCTTGCTGAGTCTGCTGGGAGGGGCTGACTAGCCTGGTAGTGAGATTCCCTCATGGCCTAGGGGAGTTTTGAATAAGCAGAAACTGCACTGGGCATTTTTTTATAACTATTGTAACTTTGGGTACCTGGTTTTGTGGCACAAAACAATGGTTTTATAATCTCAACACATTCATACAAGCAGACTTAGGAAAGCATTGAGAGGATATGGGAGGAAGGGGGGCCAGCAGGCACAGCTAGGTGGCTTTTCCACAGGTTCAGGTGCTGGCAAAGACTCTTGGCCAGGGCTCTGCAGCACAGGCCTGCCTGGCCTCACATTGGGGGGATTTTAGGAGATTACAGCCAAAGTTTAGAGGCTGTCAAAGCTTCACAATTTCGTTTAAAAAGAGAAAAAATATATTAATAGAACTGTGTGTTCTACCCTGGATGAAAACCACCCATGCTGAGAGAGATTTCAGAAATGCAAATGAATGTCAGAAGTTCTCAAATTTATTTCCAGCATACATTTTTTTCCACATGTTTTTTCCAACTTTGCAATAATGGTAAGAATTTGTAATTGTAAGAATAGCTCGAAGTCCTCCTGTCACATCACCTGCTTGGTGGCAATTTAAAATGATTAGCTGATAAAAATGATGCTAAGAAGACTTCTTTCTACACTAAGGTCTCTGCTGCTGCTACTGCTTCACCAAGATCAACAAGCATCATTAACTGTACTGAGTTTCTACAGCTATTAGCAGCATTTTAGCACTACCAACAAGATGTGCTTCAGTGTTTGTTCAAAATCAAGTTAGTGTCTTAATTAAAGGG